GATCTCGGATCTGGAGAGGGGGTCCAGCAAGTTATGTTCCCCACGACGTCCGAAGATTGCTCCAAAGTGGCCGCCAGGGGGTCCAAGATTATTCTGCGCAAGGCCCCCGAGAGGGAGGAGATCGTGAAGTTGCATGGCTTATCCTGTGACCCCCTCCCACTCTAGGTCCACACGGCTCCAAGACGGGCACCAGGGGCTTCCAAGAGGCCCGACGAGGCCTTGAACGGCCCCTCCAAGAGTGCCCTACCCGATACTCCTCTAAGACAGCCCGAGCTGAGACGGCCCAGGCCGGCCTCCCAGATGGCCCGAGGCGGTTCCGAGACGACCACAGACTGACCCACTGTTGCCCCAAAGCGTTTCCAGACGGCCCCCTGGCCTCCCGCACGGCTCCTCGAGGTCCCTGGGAACCCTTGGAGATGGCCTGTAGAGGCGTAGCGGGGGTCAACGGAGGGCCCAACGTTGGCCCCGAGAGACTTCAAGGGATGGCTCTCGAGACATCCATACTCACTCCGTTTCCCTGGGTTGCGTGGAAGTCCGAGCTGTTCCCAAGATCGATCTAGAGGGCCCCAAAGGATCCCAGAGTCGAAGGTCCACGTTGCCGCCAGGGAGAAACGGACACGGGTATCCGACTCGTTTCTCCAGCTTGTGTGGGAACGCGCGCAACGGCCGTAAACATCCCGTCGTCCGACAAGCGGGCCCCGAGACCGTCCAGTTATACCGGGAGAGCTGGCAGCAAACAGCAGCAGTTCAAAACCAGAAGCAGCACGCAGGAAGAGCAGCAAGCAGGAGCACGCAGCGGCAAGCCGCGACAGGCGGTCACAGCCTAGCAGCGGCAATCAGCAGCAACAGGCCGCGGCAGGCAGCACCAAGAGACAGCGATCGAGAGCGAGCAGCAGCAAGCATCAGCGAGTAGTCGCAAACAGCAGCAAGATGCAGCAAACCACAAAGCCGAGCAGACGTTGTGCCCAGGCAGCCCCCCTAATGAGGTTCGAGCTCCGAGACTGGCGCATGCGCGCACGCGAGACACTGGTGCACTATACGTGCCCCTGTGCGACGGGATCTTTTCGATCGGCAGATCGGCTGCCCTCTTGTTTAAAGACACTCGCCTCTTGCTTCGGATTGTGATTCATCCCAGATGCCGAAAAATATATGATCCAGGGTCGAGGGCCCACGGCCCCCCCCCCCAGATGGTATGGTCCCCAGGATTCCTCGGGCCCCCCCCCCAGATGGTATGGTCCCAGAGACGACGACGACGACGACGACGACGACGACGACGACGACGACGACGACGACGACGACGGCGACGACGACGACGACGACACGACGACGACGACGACGGCTGCGGCGGCGACGACGCCGGCGGCGGCGGCGACGACGACGATGACGACGATGACGACGGCGACGACGACGATGACGACGACGACGACGATGACGACGACGACGACGACGACGACGACGAGGACGACGAGGACGACGAGGACGACGACGACGACGACGACGACGACGACGACGACTCTGAACCACCACAGCACCACACCACATCCACAGGGGGGGGGAGGGGGGCACCGCAGCGCAGCACCACGCCACGCCCACCTCTGAACCACCACAGCACCACACCACATCCACAGGGGGGGGGGGGCACCGCAGCGCAGCACCACGCCACGCCCACAGGGGGGGGCGGGGGGGACCATCGCGCGGGGGGGGGGGCCCAATGGCATCAGCATTGGGGGGGGGGCCCAAGCCCTGGACCATATATAAACAAAAGCTTCGTTGCATCCGCCGTACTGTGCCGCGAATAAATGTGTATTCTCAGTTGTTTCGCTGTTCCAATTCGCGTTGCCGCAGCATGTTCTCTTCTGTGCGAGAACGCTTTTGTGGACGATAGCCCACAGGTCCAATGCCCCATGATACCCAACTATTGCGCAGATACCCTGAAGCCTTCAACAGCAGCAGCAGCCACAGGAAACCAGCAGCACCGAGCAGGATCCGCACGCAACATCAGCAGCAGGCGGCACCCGCAAACTGCAGCGACCAGCAGAAGCCGCAAGCAGCAAGCATCAGAAACGAGCAGCCAGTCAGCAGGAGCCAGTAAGCAGCAACGGCAGCAGCAGCAGCGAGCTGCGCCCAACAGCAGCAGATAGCGGGCAGCAGGCAGGTGAGCGCGAGCAGCAGGAAACACGCAGCAGCCGGCAGCGGACAGGAACGAGCAGCAGCAGGCGCACGCTGGACGAGCTGGCTCATCGTGGACGGGGCCCGCTGGCCAGCCCCCGTCCGGACCACGGTGCCCGGAGCAGCGTGTATGTGCGAAACGCCGTCGAGTCGCGCGCTGGAGGGGGCCGGGCAAAGACCGCAGTTCGGGATTGGCATTTCGGGTTCTGGTTCGGAGGTGGACAGACCTCCTACCCTGACACGTCGGTTAAGGAATTGACCGTTTTCGGTTCGCGAGGGGGCGTCGTGGTCGTCATTTTTGCGGGTCCAGGTCCGTCGGTTTCGGTCCCAGGCTGTTTTCACTAAGGGGAGGTTTACTAAAGGGAGGTTCGTCCGCCGCCGAATGGTTGGGGCTAGGATGCACGGTCAAGGTCGGGTTGGATTGGAAGGACCGGGCTGCTTGTCAGAAGCAGATTGAGGGTGTCAGGGTTCGGGTTGTTTAGGTCTTTTTGTGTTTTGGGGTTAGTGTTTAAAGTAAGGGTTGCAGTGTTTGGAGAAGTGAGTTGATTGCTAGGGGTAGCATTCAGAGTGTAGGATTACGGTTTGGGTCGTAGGGGGTGGGTGAGGGTGTGAAGGTTAGAGTGTGGGCGTTGTTGGAGTAGGATTAGTGTTCTGGCTACGGCTAGTGTGTATGATTAGGGTTCGAGTGTTGCGATAAGTGCGTAGGCTGGTTCGAAAAAAGGTTAGGTAATTACGATTGGGGCTAGTGCTTCACTGGTGTCAGAGCAAGCTGTCAGGGTTAGTGTTTAGGGCTTATGTGTTCGAATGTTAGACTTAGGGTTAAGGTTCGTGTGCAGGGTGAGCGGTGGTGCTTAGGGATAGGGTATGAGTTGGGTTGGTGGATTCAGTTTGAAGGTGTTATGTGCGATATGGGTTACGGGATGGAATTCGAGAGTCCAGGGTTAGGGTGTAAGGGTTCATGGATCGGGTTTAGTTTCCACTGTGGGGGAAGGATTCGGTCAGAGGGTCTGGAATGAAGTTTTAGATCAGGCTAGGGTCAAGGTATTCGGGCTCATATTCAGGAGTAGGGCTCGGACCTAGGGTTGAGATTGAGTTCAAGGGTCTGTCTTAGGGGACCGGCGTAGTGTTTAGTGTCAGGGGGGGCAGGGGGGGTCGGGACGGCGGACCAGGGAAAGGGGAGGAGTGGGCCCAACGCCCCTTCCTCTCTGGGCCAACCAGCGGCGCACCCTCCCAAACTTGGCCCCCACAGGCAGCACGAGGGCCACCAAGACAGCGCCGGCCTGGGCCCTCGAAGGGCAGCAGAAGTGCTGTTCGGTGATGGGTATTCTTAACCCTTCTGGCACTCTGCTAGTCTTGGCCTCAGAGGGGCCTCCACGCGCAACCCAGAGGCCTCCAAGGCGGCTCCACAGGCCCGCGAGGGCCTCCAGAAGCACCTCGGGCGCCTCAGGAGCAGTCCCGGGAGAGGCCCTGGCTGGCCGCCAGGGGAGAGCCCCAGGACGGCCCAGGGCCGCCCGAGGACTGCTCTTCCAGGACGGCGCCAGGGCGCCACACGGCTGGCAGGACAGCTCACGGCCTATGATTCAAACAGGGGCGACGCGTTTCGGCTCGCGGATCGCCTTATCAAACAATGTTCTGAGAACCTCTTGTGGTTTCCACGCAACGTTCTTAGAACATGTCTGGCGGAGTCTGTCTTGTTTTATCACACCGGGCTTATGTTCTAAGGACATTGTTTTTGCGATTCGAACATTTCAGGGTTCTAAGAACATGTCGTTGTAGGACTATAGGAATGCCCGGACGGTCGGTCCCTGCTCAAAGGATGAAAATTCTTGCGGCCTCGCGCGGCGCGCAATAGTTGTATCAGCTGGTCCACAGGTACGCCCCGTCAGGCACGGGACGGCGTTCGTGCGGCGACGGTCCGACGTAAGTCCGTCGCAGTCGTCACGTGCATCCGACGTAAATCCGACGAGCCCGACGTAAATCCTATGTACGTGGATCCTACGTACATAGGATTTACGTCACCGCGCGCGGCACCTCGATCACCGCCGCCGCGTCCTGCCATTGGTCGAGCCAGCCGCGGCTGGGCTCCCAATCGGGCGATTGGGGCCGGGTGTCGGAAGCGTTGTGGAAATGAGAGACTTGTGGCCGCGAAGGCCTCGCTGAAAGCTGAGTCCTACGTATAATAGGTCTCAAGTTGCCGCACGAGGCCTCAAGGATGTCCCTCATAACACAGCCCCAGGGCCAGCACAGGGACCCCCTCAGACCGCCAGACCCCCAAAAGGGCCCCGTCAGGCCCCACAAAACCTGCACATGGTGCCCAGAAACCTTCCATCATCGCCCAAATGGAGGCCAAAAACGACTGCAGCTCACATTACCGAGGCCGGCGACGGCCGGCAGATGCACGTGAGGAGACCTCACATGGCCCAACAGGCTCCGGAAGTGCCATCTACGACGTCACAGGACCGTCTAGGATTCTTCAATAGGTCCCAGACGTGTCCCGAATCACCTCAGCAGCAGCAGCAGCAGCAGCCAACAGCAGCAGCAGCAGCGATCAGCAAGCACCCAGCAGCGGCAAGCAGAATCAATAAGCATCAGCGACAGCAGGCGTCAGCGACGCCAACAGCAGGCAGCAGCAGCGAGCAAGCATCACCACGTGTTCGACTGCTCGGGAAGGTCCCTGCAGCATGCTGCCAGGATCTCAGAAGCTCCAGGACACCCGCACCCAGGCAAGCACCCTCATTAAGTCAGATCAGACGAGCAAGTCACTTGCGGATTTGTTCAAGGGGTGCAAACTAGTCAGTCAGCTACAGCGCTGGGATCAGCGCGTGCGAGAAATGCGAGCAGTGGCAGCGGGCCCTGGCGTTGCTCGGCGAGATGTGGGAGGCGATGTTGGAGCCCAACGTCATCTCTGCTACATGCAGACCTACGTGCGTCTGAAGAGGGCGCCGTCTTGACGGCTGTTCCAGCGCCCCGGCGGGGTCCAGCGGGCCCCCTTGGCCACGCAGGCGAGTCCCAGCAGGCCCCGGCCCGCCTCCAAGACGCCCGAGACGGCCTCAAGACGGTTCGAGAGGACTCCCAAGATAGCCGCAAGGCGGCCTAAAAGGCCCCCAAGAAACCCCACGAAGGCTCCGAGAGGACCCCCGAGATGACCCCTAGAAGCCAAAATTGTCCCAATCTCCTTTCTATCGTGTGGGGAAACATGTATGTTTAGCATTCTCGTTGTTTCCTTTCTTCACTCCGTTGAATCTTGGGCCAAGATTGCCCCAGGAGGCCCCCAAAGAGCTCCACGACAGCCAAAACAGCCCCAGGACGGTCCAAGAGGCGCCCAAGACGGCCCAAGAGGAACCCAAGAGGGCCCCCAGGGCGGCCCCAAGCAGCCCAAGACGGCCCGAAACCAGCTCAAAAGAGTTCAACACGCCCCAGGAGGCGCCCAAGACGGCCCAGGAGGGCCCCAGCAGGCCCCCAAGGCACCCCAACTGCCTTCCAGCACGTGTTGACATCACCAGCACCAACCAGCATCGTACAGCAGGCAGCCGCAGGCAGGCAGCAATACCCAGCACCATGCAAAAAAGCTAGCAGCATGAAGACAGAATGCAAGCAATCAGGAAGGCTTCGAGCCCACATAATGAAGCTCGTTGCGGCCCACCGCTGTCTTGCGCTGCATTCGAGGGGGCGCCGAACACCAGCCGCTCGTCGTCGTCGTCCTCTTCCTCCTGCTGATGCGTGCCGCTCCGCCTGCTCAGCCTTCTCACATCTGGCCCCCCTGGCAAACACTCGGCCACGCTTCGTTGGGATTCGTCCCTTCGGGCTCCAGCCTGTGCATCCGTCTGGGCCCTCCGGCGAACTGGTCAACACTTCGTTGCGACGCTCTTCCTCAGGGCTCCAGCCCGTGCGCCCGTCTGGACCCTCTGGCGCACACTTGGCCGCACCTCGTTGCGATTCGTTTCCCTTGGAGCTCCGGCCTGTGCGTCCGTCCGGTCCCTACCCGGAGGCACCCGGGGGGCCTCTCGGCAGCGTCTCCGCGCTCCTCGTTTTCCTGGCCCTGGGCACCTTCCGCACCAGCAGGGCCTCTCACGGTCTCGGAGTGGCCGGACGGGGCTGGCTAGAGGACGCCCCCCATACGGAGATGACCTTAAGACGACACCAGGCAGCAAGCGGCAGTGAGCGGCAGCGAGCGGACGAGCAGGTAAAGAAGCAAGCAACAAGGTGACCAGGCGATCGGGCCACGAGCTGCAGGCCACCAGGCCAGCATCTTCGCTGGCAGGCTTGCAGGCGGGAGGTTGATCAAACAAGCGATCCACACTCTTGCATCCGAGTGAGCTGTCGTGACCGCCTGGAAGATTATGGTTAAATCAGGCCGCCTGTCGTGGACGTAATCCACATGTCAGCCCTAGTCTCTCCTGCAATGCCTAGTCCCTCCTCCCTAGTCCTCCTAGTCTCAGGTTTCTGCATCAATCAATGGAGTCCCCGACGGCCGCGAGCCGCTCGCGACGGCGCCCAAGACGCTCAAGAGGGCGCCCCAACGGCCCCAAGACGGCCTTGGAGGACCCCCCATGAGAGCCCCAATATGCAAACATCGCCACATCCCAACGGAAAACATACAGTTTTGGGCATTCTTGTGCTTCTCGTCCCCGACGCGGCTACGACGGCCAGACCAGCCTCCAAGAACGCCCCAAGATGCCCTCGTGAGGGCCCCAAGGCGATCGAAGACGGCCCCAGGATAGTCCAAGAGGCGCCCAAGACGACCCAAGAGGCACCCAAGACAGCCCCAAGAGCCGCCCAAGACGGCACAAGACAGCCCCAAGACGGCCCAAGAGGCGCCCAAGACAGCCCCAAACGGCCCAAGAAGACCCCAAGACGGCCCCAAAAGGCACACAAGGCGGCCCAAGAGGCCCCAAGAGGTCCCCAAGAAGCCGAAAAGAAGCCCCAAGAGTCCCCCAAGAGGCCCCCAAAGGCCCCCAGGAAGCCCCAAGTGGCTTCAAAATTGTCTCCAGGCGAGGGGGGGCAAACGAGAGTCGAGAGGCAGATCGCAGGCCCCCAAACAGCCGGCCCCCATGACGCCCTAAGTGGCTTCGAACTTGCCTCCATGAGAGGGGGGCGGACGAAATGCGAGACGCAGATCGCAGGCCCAGAAGAGCCGCTTTGGACGCTCCGAGGGCCTTGGATGCTCATCTTCTGGGGAGCGTGAGGTGGACAAGGAGGAAGAGGAGGAGAAGGAGGAGGAGGAGGAGGAGGAGGAGGAGGAGGAGAGGGAGGAGGAGGAGGAGGAGGAGGAGGAAGAGGAGGAGAAGGGAAGGAGGGGAGGGGAGGGGGAGGATGAGGAGGACGAGGAGGAGGCGCAAGAAAACCCCGAAGAGAGCCCCACCAGGATCTAGATGACGTGCACGATCCTCTGAATTTTGAACGTGGAGACTTCAAGAGCGAACGGTGACGCACCCAAAGCTCTGAACGCCGAGGCTCCCAAGCGCTAGTGTGAAGACTTCAAGAGCGAACGGTGACGCACCCAAAGCTCTGAACGCCGAGGCTCCCAAGCGCTAGCGGTGGCGGACAAGAGCGTTTACCGCCGGCAGCAAGCAAGCACACTTCAAACAAGCAGCACCGGGGACCAAATTAGGAAGCTCATCAAGGCCCACCGCTGCTGCGCGCTCCGCTCCGGAGTCGGTGGTTTTCGTCACATGCACGCGCCGACCCTCCAGGCCACGACGACTGCTCCTCTATACGCTACGTTGAGACAGGCGCGCGGCGCCGGAGGAGCAGGAGGAGGAGGAGGGCGACGTCGCCGGCGATAACGAAGATGACGACGACGACGACGACAGCGACAGCGACAACGACGCGACTGAGCCGACGACTAAGATCACAACGACGACGACGATGACGACGCCAAGTCAGTGCCAGTGCGGATCCCGAGCAGCAGCGTCATGCACTGTGAAGATGGAGCGGGGTGGTCCCGGACAATTTCTGAACATTTGCACCTGGGGGCCGGTCTGTTCAGAAATTGTCCGGGCCCACTTGTGCCCAAGCAGCCGTTGCGCTCGTGATTTATGCTTGCTTGTTCTTTCTTCCCTCCTCTGACCTCCAGACCACCTTGGCCCGCATGTCGTTGCGACCCACGCTCTGCAAGCAACATCATAGAAACCTGGCCGTCGGCCACGGGTCAGCCCTAGTCATCAGCTACAGTGCGGGGATCAGCGCGTGCGAGAAAGGCGAGCAGTGGCAGCGGGCTCTGGCGCTTCTCAGCACAATGCTGGAGGCGAAGCTGAAGCCCGACGCGGCCGTTTTCAACGCTGGGATCAGCGCGTGCGAGAAAGGCAGGCAGTGGCAGCGGGCTCTGGCGCTGCTTAGCGGGATCAGCGAGGCGGAGTTGGATCCCGACGTCATGTATACTGTCATGCCGGGCGCCCCGCGTGCCAGTGGGGGCAGTGCCTTCGCCCGCCGAGCCCGAGGCGGCGGCGCCCCCGCGGCCCCGCTCGTGGAGCGATCCGCCCTGGCCCAGGAGAGCCCCGCAGATGCCCCTTAAAGGCCCCCAGAGCGCTCCCCTGCAGCGCACGAGGGCCCCCAGGCGAACCGAGGAGGACACCGCCATGCTCCACTGGGCTTCCAGATGGCGTCCGGCAGAGCCAGGAACACGCGAACGAACAGCTACAGGCGGCCCGGATTCGCAGGTCGACCCTGCCAGATCAAGGGCACCCTTTGAGTCCTGCGTCTCGCGGCCCATGCTTCGTACATTCTTGTGGCGACGTGGCCCTCGAAAGGGTCGCGTTGTCTTCTCGCGTGCCCTCTCCAATCAAGCACGACTGTATAGACATTCTCCAGGTTTTAGCAGACTTTCTCTTCCGATCGCTTCCGCGGCCAAAAGACCCCAAACCCGCCCCGAGAAGCCTTCCAAATAGTTCGGTGGGCCCCCAGGGAGCTCCCAAGAGAGCCCCAACGACCGCCCCAGAGACCCTCAAGACGGTTCCGGAGACCCCCGAGACGGCAGAGCAGCCCCCCAAGACGGCCCACAGGGAGGCCCAACAGAAACAAATCTGGAGTGCCTTGCCCTCCCGTCCCGCCCCTTTCACGGCCAGCAAGCCACCGAAGAAAAAAGCAAGAGGTTCCCAGACGGCCTCCAGGACACTCTCCATAGGCCCCCAGAAAGCCTCCACCAGTTCCTTCGACACGGCTACGACATGTTCCTAAAAGCCCCCAGATCATTGGAGCAAGTGATGCGTCACGGGCTCCTGGAAGGCCTCCAGCAGCTCTCTCCAAAGGGCTCAGATTGGCTCCTAGATCCTAGAAAGCACCCGTAGATTGGAAAATCCATGCCCCACATTTCTTGGGACACCTCTGGGCCAGGATGGGTTGCAGAACGCAGCTGCCCGATCCAGCCGCGGACACCCAGGAACGATGATCTGCGACCTCTCCCGCGCCGAGCGTGCCCCAAGAGGTGTGGAGTGTGGCCTTTGTCCAGAATCAGATTGGGCCTCCTCCTTGTCCTCCACATCGTCGTCGTCGTCGTCGCCCTCCTCCGCCACACTGGCTCCTGCTGTTGCTGCTGGAGTTGCTGCCGCTGCTACAGGAGCCGCACTGTTATTGTTGCTGCTGGAGCTGCTGCGGTTGCTACTGCCCATGCCGCTGGATCTGCCGCAGCTGACACTGCTTGCGCTGCTCTGGACGCCGTCAGAGAGCCCGCCAAGAGGCTTCAAGGATCGGTCCAAGAGGACCGGCGAGATGGCCCCAGGACGAACTCTGAGATCCTAAGAAGCATCCAGGGCAGCTCCAGAACAACCATGACACGGCCAAGAGACGACCCAACAGGGCGCCCGACGAGAACCCCCAAAGACAGTGCAGGACAGCCCCAAGTGGCCCAAGAGCTCCGAGGCGCTTCAGGGCATCGTCAGATGCCCCGAAGGTTTCCCCATTGCAGTCCAGAAGAGATCGAAGACGGCCTCTCCAAAATCCTTGCAGCCCCCAGAAGGCCACACGCATCGAACACCTGACATGTGTGCAATGCTGCTGGGTTCCTCGTCTTGCCGGCCCATGTCGGCCCTCGTGATGGTTATGTCATCAGTTGGTTGTGTTATTGTTGCTCAGCGGCTTGGTAGTTGATCGGGATATTGAGCAGCATCTTCTCATCTGCGTTGCCGGGCAAGCTTGTATGCGGAATCATCATTTCAATATTCTGATTGTTTCCGTCATGGTTGGCCTTGGTTGGGTCCGATCGGGCTCCGCCACTTGTCGGCACGTCGAAGATCCGACCGACTGGCCGCCCAAGCGGGTCCAATCGGACTCCGCCGCTGGTCGGAGCGCGTCGAAAGCTTCTAAGCGCGATCCCTCCACAGTGTCATGCCACGAACAGGTTGGTCGTCCATAATCCTTTGTTGCGCCATGATTCAATGTGTGTGCCGTGCCGCGTCGCGACGAAACTAGTCCCTTCCGAAAATGAGATGTGCCGCGTGTGCGCGCTGCAATCCTCACTTTCGAATGCAAGTGCGATCTTGTGGACGGTAGTCCACGGGTCAGCCCTAGTCAGTTACAGTGCTGGGATCAGCGCGTGCGAGAAATGCGAGCAGTGGCATTGGGCTTTAGTGCTGCTCAGCGATATGTGGGAGGCGCAGTTGGAGCCCAGCGTCTTCTGCACTATTATTACAAGGGTAGCCGTGCGAGACTGATTTGGCGGTGATACGTTCGGACCGAGGTATGCGATCGAGGTCGGTTCGGGGAGGGTGCCCCACTGTTCTTCGTGCTTGTTCGATGCTCTTGCGCATCCTGGGAGAGGGCACCCTCGCTGGTTCTCCAGTTCTAGCCAGCGGGTGGTCTCATGTTCTTCAGGGACGTTGTTATGTCCCAGGTCCGACCGTAGCCTCCTTCGCCCCCTCGGAGCGTATGGTCGACCCAAGGCAGCCCTATCTGTTCTGCAGGCCCAGACAGGTCCCAAGAGGTCGCGAAACATTGTGACAAGAGGTTGTTAACATGGGAGTAGCGACATCGCGTAACATGTGACTTGTTTCTCTGTCGCCGCGCATCGGCCAGGACTGTTTCATGAACAGGCCTTCTAGAAGTCCACAGGGCCTCCCAGACAGCCTCCGCACGGTCAACGAGGCCCCCTGGAGAAGTCCAGGACGGGCCCGATAAGTTCGAGACCGCATCGAGACGGCTCCAAGATTGCTCAAGACCGCCCCAGAAAAACAAGTCTCCCTCCTGCACAAGACGGTCCCAATGAGGCGTCAAAGCAGCTTACTATTGATCCGCGGCGGCGGCGGCCCCGAGATTCCCCTTGTTCGCCGGAAGGCCCGCCAAGATGGCGTCGAGAGAGGTTTTACGAAGCCAACAGGGTTTCAAAGCAATTTGTTTTCTAAGGTTGGCTTTGGTTTCGTACAGCATCTGTTGGCCCGAATGGTCGCCCAGCTGACATTGAGATCAAGATCGAAACCATGTCGCTCCAAATTGTGTGCAGGCGTCCAGAGAAGAAGCTCCCTAGAGGGCCCCTACGACAGCCCCAGACTTCCCCACGACCGACCCAAGGCGGGCCCAAGGCTTCCAGAATTCCCCTGGATTGCCTTGCTTTATGTAGGTACCTATGTGCATATACCTACACGACCACCCATCGGATGATTAGGCGGTGCGTGGTGGAACCATTTTTTCGCTCAATCGATTTCACATTCGACCTGATCACACTCGACCGATCTCAGGTCCGATCGCACATTCGGTCTGAAGATCTATCTCAATATCGGTATCACGATCGATTACACTACCGATCTGACTATCGATCTGACATCCGTCGATCTCACTATCAATATCACCATCCATCTCTCGATCGGTCCCACGATCGAACTCACCATCAATGGCACTATCGATCTCACTATCGGTTGCACGATCTGACCGACATCACGAGACACCACGAGACGCCAGGAGACACCACGAGACACCATCACGATACACCACGAGACACCACGAGACACCATCACGAGACACCACGCCGAGACAACACGAGACACCATTACAAACCCCGATTCACCACAAGACACCACGAGACACCATCACGACACACCACGAGAAACCACGAGACAGCATCACGAAACACCATGATGAGACACCACGAGACACCATTAGAAACCCCGATTCACCACAAGACACCACGAGACACCATCACGACACACCACGAGACAGCATCACGAAACACCATGACGAGACACCACGAGACACCATTAGAAAGCCCAAGACACCACAAGACAACACGAGACACCATCACCACACACGACGAGACACCACGAGACATCACGAGACACTACGAGACATCGCGAAACACCACGAGACACCATCACGAGATACCACGAGACACGACGACACACCATCACGATACACCATGACACACAGACACCACGAGACACCATCACGAGACACCATCACGAGACACCACCACGAGACACCATCACGAGACACCATCACGAGGCAACACGACACACCACGAGACACTACGAGACAACCCGAGACATCACGAGACACCACGAGACATCACGAGATACCACGAGACACCTCGAGACACCACGGCGAGACGCCCCCATCCACCGCCTGCCACGCGGGGGGGGGGGCGCGTCTTTTAGTCCGACCGCGGCCCAGCCAGAGGAGGGTTCATTCCTGTTGCCCGCCCACGCAGCTTTGCCTCACCCGCACGCACGGCACGAACGCGAAACCGAGACTGATTTCCTGGTGGGGGGCTCTCCGATTGACTGCGATGTCACCCCCTCGCCCCCTTACGGCCGGTGCCGCCCACCCTGAAAGACCACGACGGCGAAGACGACGACGACGACGAACTGAGGGTCCTGCCACAGGCTTCGGACATTGGGCGGAAGGAGGGAGGGAAGAGGAGGAAGATGAGGAGGAGTTGGCGGAGAAGAGGAGGAGGAGGAGGAGGAGGAGGCGGACGAGGAGAGAGGAGAGAGGAGAGAGGAGAGAGGAGGAAGAGAAGGAGGAGGAGGAGGAGGAGGCCCTCTTGGGCCGTCTTTGGGGCCTCTTGGGGCACTCTGGGTCCGTTTCACGGCGGTTGTGAGCCCCGGGCCCCCCCGGGGGGATGGCATTCTGACCCGGGACCCCCTTATAGAAACCTCCCCGGGACCCCCCCCCGGGACTCTCGCCACTTAGACGGCGCAGGCT